CTTTGTCTTCTAGAGTTGCCCTTTGAAATGTTCTGTTCAGCTCTTTTACTTCATCATTGTATCCAGTTGCTTTAGCTTCTCTATACTCAAGAACAAGTTTCAGAGTATCTTCTAACATCCATTTTGTTCTTTTCTTTCTTTCCTGTCTTTTTAATGACCTTTTTCTTTCTTCCTGTATGATGTTCTTGATATCATCCCACAACTCTTCTGGTCTTTGGTCATTAATGTCTAATGCACTAAATCTGTTCTTGAGGTGGTCTCTAAATTCAAGTGGGATATACTCAAGGTCATATTTTGGCTCTTGTGGACTTGTTTTAATTTTCTTCAGCTTCATCCTGAACTTGCATATGAGCAATTGATGGTCTGTTCTTCTGTTAGCTCCTGGCCTTATTTTGACTGGTGATATTGAGCTTCTCCATGGTATCTTCCCACAGATGTAGTCAATTTGATTTCTATGTATTCCAGCTGGCAAAATCCATGTGTAAAGTTCCTGTTTATGTTTTTGAATGAAGAAGTCATTGATCTTGCAAAATTCTATCATGCAAACTCCAGCATCATGTCTATCACTAAGACTATGTTTTCCAACTACTGATCCTTCCTCTTTGTTTCCAACTTTTGCATTCCAATCATCAATAATTATCAGTGCATCTTTAGTTGAATGTTTCACCAATTTCAGCCCGAAGATGTTAGTAGAATTCTCCAATTTCATCATCACTGTCTTTAGTGTTTGGTGTGTACATTTGAATAACAGGTGTATTAATTGGTCTTCCTTGTAGGCACATGGATATTATACTATCACAGATAGCATTGTACTTCAAGATAAATCTTGAAATGCTCTTTTTGATAATGAATGCTACACTATTCCTCTTCAATTTGTCATTCACAACATAGTAAATTATCTTAGGATGTGTTTTCTAGAAAAGGATGTGTTTTCTAGAAAATTTATATATATATATATATATAAAGAGAAGTTTATTATCTTACAATTGTAGAGTCCCAGGTCCCTAGTGGAAGAGAGAGAGTCCCCTCAACATGTCCATTATATTGGGAGCAGGCCAAACCCCCAAGGAAGCATCCCTTCCACTGATTGGGTGCTTATAGCCACTCATCATAAAGCTAACTATGCCTGTATTAGGTTTCATTACCATGGGAATAAGCACATCTCAACTGCTAAACCTCTGGAAATCCTGGCCTAGTAGAGTTTACACAGAACCCTAGCCATTACAGTTTACCCTTGTCAACTTGAAACCTATAAACTATATGCATAATCTCTAAATAAAGAAAATTATAAAGCCATACTTTGTAAAGCCATCTAACATGATATAACTAAGACACATACAACCAAAAACGCATTGGCCCCATTTGTCACACATAAACAAGTGAAAAATATTTGATGTACACATATAAAACAATACATATTTAAATTTAATTGCACCTCTATTTTATTTTTCAATTTAGGGTTTCCAAACAGAATAGATGCCCAATTAAATTTGAATTTTGATAAACAATGAATTCTTCTTCTTTTTTTCTTTTTTAGTAAAAGTATGCTCCAAATATTGCATGAAACATATTTTTATGTTAAAAGATACAGCAAATATCTTTTTTTGTCCTGTTTACCTGAATGTCTTATGTTCTTATTGCTACCACAATTCAATTTTGGAACGGTTTAGTAAGAAACCCAAAGCAATCAAGCAATGCTTGATTCTTTGAAAAAGTGCGAGTCACAGGACTCCTCAGGAGTAACTAATAAAACACACGATCTTCAGCTGAATCTCAAAGACCTAAGATAGGTTTAAACAACAATAACAAAAAGTGAGTTAACCAATTCTACTGATTTGGTAGGAAGCAAAGATATTCTTATTTTATAGCAGCTTTATTGAAGCAATGTACATATCATAGAAATTTACCCATTTAATATACACAATTAATTCAATAGTTTTAGTATATTTTCAGAATTGTGCAACCATTATCATTATCAATGTTAGAACATTTTCATCACCTCAGTAAGAAACTCCCTACCCTGCCCACTCCCTATTCCTCACCATCCACCCTAAACCAACCCTTAGTTACCACTAGCTGCCTTTTGTCTCTATGGATTTGCCTATTCAGGATATTTGATATCAATGAAATTATACAATTTATGGCCTTTTATAACTGGTGTGGTGCTGTGAAAAAAAGCACTAGATGGCAAGATTTGAAAACACAAGGTTGGCCGTTCAAACTCACCAGCCACTCCTTGGTGGTGGTGTTGTGCGGCAGAGTCGGTTCCAACTCATAGCGACCCCGTACAGGGTTTCCGATCTGTTCATCTTTACCTGTGCAGAAAGCCTCATCTTTCTCCCACCGAACAGCTCGTAGTTTCAAACTGCTGAACTTAAGGTTAGCAGCCCAATTCATAATCACTACTAATTGGACTGCTAACCTCTGGTAGCGTAGTGGTTACAAATCGGGCTGCTAATCTCACAGTCAGCAGTTTGAAACTACCAGCTGTTCTGTGGGATAAAGATGAGGCTTTCTGCACCGGTAAAGATTTACAGCCTCGGAAACCCTGTAGAGGGTCTCAATGAGTTGGAACCGACTCCGCGACACATAACAACAACAACAATGCTACCAGAGTCCTGGCGTGGCTCTGTTGGTTAATGCGCTGGACTGCAAAGTCGCTTTGAACAGCAAGATCAGCGATTCAAGCTCACCAGCTGCTTCTTGGAAACCCTATACAGGGTCGCTATGGGTCGGAACCAACTCGAAGGCACTTAACAACAACAACAACATTACCAGAGCTCCTTGGAAACTCTATATAGGCTTGCTATGACGGCACTTTTCAACATCAACAACATAACTGGCTTAAGGAGCCCAACAAACCACAACGTTAGTGGTTGTAATCTCACAGCTGTTAGGTCGAGAAAGATGAGGCTTTCTGCTGCTGTAAAGAATTATAGCCTTGCAAACCCTATACAGGGTCGTCATGAATCGAACAACTCCACAGCACACAACCACCAACAACACCGTAACTGGCTTTCTTTCACTTAGCATAATGTTCTCAAGTTTTGTCCATGTCATAGCATGTATCAGTACTTTGTTTCTTTAATTGTTGTTGTTGTTAATTGCTGTGGAGTCGGTTCTGACTCATAGTGGCCCTGTAAGGGTTTCCAACAAGCCGGTTGTGGGTTTGAACCGCCGACCTTGAGATTAGCAGTCAGTCCAGTGCTTATCCTACAGCGCCAAACCTTTAATGGTTGAATAATTTTCCATTTTGTTATCCACTTTTTAGCATCCATTCGTCAGTTGATGGACACTAGGGTTGTTTCCACTTTTAGATTACTATGAATAAAGCTGCTATGAACTTTCAATGTACAACTTTTTTTTATGGAGACATATGTTTTTGTCTTTGGTATATACTACTACGTGGAATTGCTGACCATATGGCAACTCTTTACTATTTTGATGGCTTGCCAAGCTGTTTCCCAAAGCGCTTGCACTATTTTACAGTCTTAGTTATTCTTTTATTTATATATATCATGGTGCTGGTGGTTATATGCCGTGGAGTCGGTGTCGACTCATAGCGAACCTGTATAGGGTTTCTGAGATGAATTTGAACTGCCAATTTTGCAGTTCAAACGACTTTGCTGTCCAACGTATTAACCCACAGTGCCACACCACGACTCATATATGTTGTTGTTAGGTGCCATCGAGTCAGTACCAACTCATAGCGACCTTATGAACACAGCAGAACGAAATACTGCCTGATCCTGGGCCAACCTCACTACTGTTGCCACGCTTGAGTCCCTCGATGCAGCCACCTAGCCAATCCATCTCATTGGAGGTCTTCCTCTTTTTCTCTGACCCTCCACCTTACCAAACATGATCTCCTTCTGCAACGACTGTTACCTCCTGACAATATGTCCTAAGTATGAAAGACGAAGTTTGGCCATCCTGGCCTCCAAGGAGCACTCTGGCTGCACTTCTTTCCAAAACGGATCTACTGTTTCTTTTGGCAGCCCATGGCATTTTCAATATTCTCCTCCAACACCATAACTCAAAAGCATCAATTCTTCTACAGTCTTCCCTATTCACTGTCCAGCTTTTGCATGCATATGAGGTTATTGAAAATACCATGGCTTGGGTCAGGCACACATTAGTCCTCAAGCTGACATCTTTGCTCTTCAACACTTTAAAAAGGCCTTGTGCAGCAAATTTGCCTAATGCAATACATCATATACATATACATATATTTATATACATATACAAAGCAGTTTGAAACTACCGGCTGTTCTGCAGGAGGAAGATAAGACTTTCTCCTCCCGTTAAGATTTACAGCCTCAGAAACTCTGTCGGAGTTGACTCGACAGCACTAAACAACAACAACAACATATCTAAACAAAAGGCGAGAGAGCGAGACAGAGACAGAGACACAGAGATTCCGACCTATAGTGACCCTGTATAGGATTTTCTAGGAGCAATGGCTGGGTTTGAACTGCTGTCCAGTGCTTATCCTACAGCGCCACTCTCTCTCTCTCTCTCTCTCTCTCTCTCTCTCTCTCTCTATCTATCTATCTATCTATCTATCTAATGTAAATTAAAAGAATAACTAAGAATGTAAAATAGTGCAGGCGCTACTAATATATGTATGTATATTGGGATTTCCTCAGCGTTCCAGAGATTGAGGGCCCGCCAAGCGCCTAAAGTCTGGCGACCAAGGCTCCGCCTTCAGGACGGCCTTTACTTGCCGCAACCTCCCTCCTCTGCCAAGTCGTGGAACTCTGGGCGGAGATATGCGAGTGCACTGTGGGAAACGTAGTTTCTGTCTCCAACTGGGCGTCTCCGCCTCAGCTCTTGCATACAAGAGGAAAACAGATGCTCCTTCCCTGGGCTATGTGGATATTGTAGTTCTCCTTCATATTAGTCACACAGAGACTACGGTAAAGAAAACTATAATACCCAGAATATCGCTGCGCTACGGAATCCGAAATGGCCGTCCGTCGCACAACCCCCCCCCCCACCCCGCCCACCCTCGGTTCCTCGCCTCTCCCCAGAAGTCTGTAAACACACCCAGGGACTGTCATGGAGGGGGAGGAGGAGGCGGCGGCGGCGAAGGGAGGCGTTTTGGGCCGTCTCCAGGGCCCGCTCTGCCATTCCTGAATTGGACCCTCGTCCTGTGCCTGTGGCATCAAGAAGGCCAGCTGTTAGGCAACAGGAGGAAGCAGTTAGAACCATATCTCTTTCTTCCCCGGGGGCGGGGGCCGGACCGGGCCAGACCGGCTAAACCAGGGGAGGGCCCGGGGAGGGAACGCCGGGCCGGCCGGCCTGTCTGCTGAGATGGATGACAGTAAGGTAAGTCCTGTGGTTTGCACGCGCAGCTAACGCCGCCACCGCCTCCTGCTAGTCGTTTAGTACGAGTTCAGCTGCTGAGTCTCAGCTCTCGGCAGTTCATGCCAATACCCAAGAAACGCTTGCTAGACATCACTGCTTCTCTCCAATTTTCACCCAGACAGGGTGTTTCATCAGAAAGGGCCCTCTGATGATGAGTTTAACTCACGGTGCAAGCGTGTTTGCCTGCTATTCCCGACAATACAAGCCCTAGTCCTTGACTTGTCTGTTAAAAGAAGTGCAGAAACTTGGTTGCTTTTTTTCTTTTCTATTTTGCCCTCCCCAGCCCCTACCTTATTTTTTCTGTAGTTTGGAGAGCTTAGCTAGTACTCCCTGAAACAGCCTTTTCCTTTGTCGATTCCGTTTTCTTCTCGCAGGCTCCCTTACTGAATGTCCCATTCATAGGATCAGTTCACTCCCCCTTTGAGCTATGGTCTGTGGTTGGTTGGAACACTGCTAAACTCTTGTTGCTATTCCGCCAGAGCCTGGAATCTAACCTCCTCTTGAAAGCCTTCTCTTAAAACAGTAGTGAATTCCTTATTGTTAACTGATATTAACATCCCACCACCATCTCACTTTCTTTCCCAAATCACTTATCCAGATGATTGTAAGATAATAGGCAATGGTCTTCATTTGTTAATTATATATAGTTTATGTATAACCTAGATATCTTTTGGTCTCCATGAAAATAAGTATAGTCAGGAAATTTGTCTTAAACAATTTTTTTTTAAATGAAAGAATCAGACATAAAATTGGCCAGTTTTTAAAGTAGAAATCAGTCCTTTCCTATGCATTTTAGGGGTCTTTTTTCTGACAGTCTTTAGTGTGCTTCACATTGAACTGTTTCCCTTGCTTGTGCCCCCTTTTTACCTCCACCTAACCAGTAAAGCTTTATTGCTGCCAAGTTGTTCTTTTACCCATCCTAGAAAAGTTAATTTCCAGCTTCTCTGTACTACTTGGTTTATTGTACATTACTTTCTGTTCCCTTTCCTTCAGAAGGCTCTGAGGAAAGTCATAGAAGGAAAAGCACAATTCAGTACCCTGGGATTGGGATTTGCTTAGAGAGAACTACACAAATTGCTTGTGAAGTAGCAGACCTCTCCTAAATGGAAATGTATTTCCAAGACAGGTTTTCAGAAAAACAGAAGATAATTTTCCATAGACGTTTTTATTGCCCTGATTTTTCAGTTTAATTTAAAAGTTAAATCTGAATACTGTACCCATAACCTTTTCCAGAAAATAATATTAATGTTATAGCTGTTTCAGAATGCTAAAATAGCATATTGTTCTTTTATTTCCTTAATGTATGACTCCTTTAGTATACCTGTTGCCACGAATTCAACCCTGGTGTATAGAGACCCTATAGAACAGAGTAGAACCCCCAAAGAGTTTCCAAAGCTGCAAATCTTTACAGAAGCAGACTGCCACATCTGTCTACCATCGTGTGGCTGATGGGTTTGAACTTCCAACCTTTTCGCTAGCAGCTGAGCACTTAACTACTACACCACCATGGCTCCCTGAAAGTATCTATTACTGTTGAATTGATTATGACTCATATTGTTGTTCAGTGCCATCAAGTCAGTTCTGACTCATAGCAACCTTGTGTAGAGTTTTCAAGGAGTGGCTAGTGGTTTGAACCCTCATCCTTACAGTTAGCAGTCCAATACTTAACCTACAATCCCACAGCAGGACTCCATTATGATTCATAGGGACTCTTTATAGGGTTTTGAGACTGTAAATATTTGCTGGAACAGGCAGCTGCATCTTTGTCCTGTAGAGTGGCTAGTGGGTTTGAACCACTGACTTGCGGTTAGCAACCAAACACTTTATGCAAAGGACCACCAGGTCTTCCTTTATAATGTTATTGCTGTGTGTATAGAGTCTGTTTCAACTCATAGCGATCCCGTAGAGGGTTCCCAAGAGCAGCTTGTGTATTTGAACTGCCAAGCTTGTAGTTAGCCAGTCTAGTGCTTATCTTACAGTGGCATATCAGGGTTCAGGTATAGTATGTTGTTGTTGTTGTTAAGTGCCGTCAAGTCAGTTCCGACCCATAGCGACCCTGTATAGGGTTTCCTAGGAGCAGCTGGTGAGCTTGAACCGCCCACGTTGCAGTTCAAATGGCTTTGCAGTCTGGCGCATTAACCCACAGCGTCACACCAGGACTCCCAGGTATAGTATAAGTCTACCTAATTTTCAGTTGTTTTCTTTTAAGACTTTTTAAACATTTAATAACTTTCTCAAAGTTTTCAAAAACCCCAAAATTAGTCCAAGAAAAATACAAAGAATTTTAGTTGATAGGGGAAATACAATTTCACTGTTTTGCCTTAAAGTATTTTGTGGAGGAGGCTATTTATAACTTACTTCCTATAGGGTACACACACAAGTAAGATGAATTGAGCTCTCATTCTTAAGGAAGTCATTGTTTTTATGAATGTTAGAAAGCAGTTTCTTAAATCTTTAATGATTACTATAAAGAACACTCATTTTAAAGGTCTCTATGAATATTGCTTTTGTGAGTACACACTGTCACTTATACTGCAAGTCACAGTGGTGGATCAGTAATATTTCAATGCCATCTATAGCAAGACTAGATGATTCTTTCCATCAGACAGAGTGAAACAGCCCTTAAATACAGCGGTGGCAGCTCCCAATGCTGCCTCTCTGATCCATCAACATTTACCCTCCTCCCAGAATACACCATCCATACGCACACACAAAACATTCTTCCTTCACATTATGTATGGGTCATGGAGATCCTGATTTTCCCACTCTAGGGGAAGGTGAGGTTGGGACTTGGAAATACGGTGACTGTGCTATCAGAGGGCAACAGGAGAGCTGTAGTAAAACCCATACTCACTGCCATCGACTTGGTTCCAACTCACAAAGTAGAACTGCTTCTTTGGGTTTCTGAGATTAAATCTTTAAGGGAACAGACAGTCTCATCTTTCTTTCACACAGCATGGTAGGTTTGAACCACCAGCCTTGCAATTAGCAGTCCAACAATTAACCTACCCTGCTACCATGTCTCCTTACAGCTGACATCAAAACCAACAACCAAACCCACTGTCATCTAATCAATTCCGACTCATGTAAGTGTTGGTGGTAGTAGTCATGTGCCATGGAGTCAGTTCCGACTCATACCGACCCTGTACAGGGTTTCCGGGGCTGTAATTCTTTACGGGAACATCTTTCTACCACAGAGCGGCTGGTAGTTTCGAACTGCTGACCTTGCGGTTCACAGCACTCTGCTACTTTAACCAGTTCTGCTACTTTAGAGGCCATCAAGTCGGTTCTGACTCACACTGACCTATGTGCCCCTTCCTACTCCATCCTCACAATTGTTACATTTTGAGCCCATTGCTGCTGCCACTGTGCCAGTCCATCTCATTGAGGGTCTTCCTCTTTTTCACTGACCATTCACAGTACCCAGCATGACATCCTTCTTGAGAGACTGCAGCCTCCTGATTACATGTCCAAAGTATAAGAGACCATGTCTCACCATTCACACATCCAAGGAGCATTCTGACTACTTCTTCCAACACAGATTTGTTTGTTCTTCTGGCAGTCCATGGTAGTTTTAATATTTTTCTCAAACACTATAATTCAAATGCAGCGATTCTTCTCAGGTCTTCCTTATTCATTGTCCAACTTTAAAGTGCAGGTCATTGAAAATTCCATGGCTTAGGTCAGGCACACCTTAAGTCCTCAAACTGATATCCTTGCTCTTTAACACTTTAAAGAGATCTTATGCAGCACATTTGCCTAATGCAGTACTTTGATTTTTGACTGCTGCTTCTATGAGTGTTGATGGTGGATCCAAGCGAAATGAAATCTTTGACAACTTCAATCTCTTCTCCTTTATCATGATGTTATTTATTGGTCCACTTGGTAGGATTTCTGTTTTCCTTACATTAAAGTGCAATCAATCCATACTGAAGGCTGTGTCTTTGACATTCATCAGTAAGTATTTGCTTTCAGTGACCCTTTTTTCTGTCAAGGACTATTTGGATATTTATAACATCATTCACAGGCCATACAGAATTGTCAACTTAAAAAGTAGCTACATGTATTTGGATTGCTAGAACTGCAGTTGCCTTGGCAGGGCCAGACAGATGATTTTGCTGGCCTTGTACAGCCCATGGGTCAGACGTTCCCCACCCCTGCTTCCTAGGGTTTCTGAAGCCGTAAATGTTTATGGAAGCAGAAAGCCTCTTCTTTAGCAGCTGAGGTGTTTGAACTGTCAACCTTGTTCAAATACAAGGATAAGTAATCCAGTGCTTATTTTATAGCACCTCCAGGGCTCCTTACAGCTGACACAGAGAAGTAGTATTTGAATGAACTGGTCAGGGAGAAGATGATGATGATGTGAAAATCTCTCTTTATAACACTTCTGTATTCTAACTTTTCCCACTGGTAAAGTTTGAGTTTGTCAAGAGTTCTCTACACTCATTTAGCCTGTTGGAGTAAGAGCAGGGTAAACTTGAATACTGGTGCAGCTTGACCTTTCAAGTATCTAACTGAATGCCCGGTACAGTTATTAGTTATTAGTGATTGAATTGAATTGGAACAGAGTGCCATTAAGAAGGTTGCCCTGACATACCTGGGCTTTATGATCAGCAGTGTGATTCAGCTGAACAAACCAGCCAAAGAATACAAAACCCAGTAATCCCGGACAGTAGCAAATAGGAAAAATCAAGTAACAGATAGATTGGGCATTTAACCGTGGGGGTCTGGGGAAGTACTAAGTAGCAGAACTTAAATACTGATGGGGTGAAACTTCTACTGGACTACTTGGAAAAAATCTTGGCTAAGTTATTTAACCTTTTGGTGCTTCCATTTCCTTAACGAAGATAATACCTTCCCTTTCAGGCTTTGGTGAGGTGAGATGATACATATAAAACATCTAGTATTGAATTAATCATATAGTGGTGGTGGTGGTTGTGTGCCGTGTAGTCAATTCTGAC